ATTATGTTGGACACCATAAGGGTGGAGGTGTAAGAAAAAAATCATAGTGGGGGTAGATGTAATTATCCAAACAAGAGGGGTTTTTTCGTAAATTGACCATACCTCAGGGGGTTGGTTGTAATTTACCCTTATTTATATTTTTTTAAGTAATTTATTCACAATTTAAAATATAAAAAATACTATAATTATTGCATTAGTCTTCTCTATTTGAAGTCTTTAATTGCAAAAGTGTTCCTTCTTCCATCTCTCTCTCTCTCTCTCTCCTATATTAGCTTTAATTTATTTTCTTTGCTTATATATCTCCCCCATACTAATTACTATACTGGCTTTACCAACAATGGAAGCCTTCGCTTTACTCAAATACTGGCGTCCCATTGGCGGCGGCGACGCCACCCACTCGACCGGAGACACCACTTTCAATCCACGCGCCACCAGGAACACCACCACCGCCGTCCTCTTCTCCGAAGAAGATCCCTACTTTGACCTGGAATTCACACCACCGACCGACTACGACACCGGAGAAGCCGCCGGAGATAGCCCAGCAGAAACTGAAAGTGGGTCCAGCGCCGCCGCCGCCGCCGCCGCTGATGAAGAATTATCAGATCACGAAAATAGCGACGAAGAAGAAGAAGAAAATGAGGTGAAGTACGCTATCACAAGCGACGAAAGAAATGTGATAATCTCTCCTTCCAGCATTATTAATATTTCAGAAGAGAACACCAAATTGCCTGCTTCGTTGCTAAAATCAGCGACTAAATTTCGAGTTTTGTTGCTAAAACTCAAGAAAACAAAATCTTTCAACAGATCCGAGGAAAAAACAGTGGTTGGTAATAATAATAATTTGTTTCTTGAGTTCGACGTTGATGAAGACAAAGGCCCGTTAATTTCTCTGTTTGCAAGAGATAATAATTCGAAAGATTTATCAAATGAGAGAAATTTGGTGCAGAAGTACTTGAAAATGATCAAGCCTAAGGTGAAGTTTTCCGGCGAGGCGACCGGAGGATGTCGTAGTTCCGACGGTGCCGGCGGTGTTTCTCAGCTGCCGGAGGTGGGGAGTAATGCGAAGAGTCATCATCAGAAGCGAGGGGTGGAAGTGGTGCGTAAGCACTTGGGGAAAAGCAGGTCGAGTTCCGCCATGTTGGCGGCGGCGCCGCCGCCGGGGTCCGACCGCCGCCGTGATGACTCGCTGTTGCAGCAGGAGGACGGGATTCAAGGGGCCATTCTGCATTGCAAGAGATCATTCAATGCCACTAGAGGTAATTAATTAATACTTATTTTTATACTCATTTATATATTTATTAGGATAAACTACGGCCACCTCCTAAGGTAAGATAATATTACGAAATAACCCCTCTTGTTTGGATAATTGCAATCACCCATCAACTATGAAATTTCGTACGCGTTTATTCATATGGTGTCAAATTCAACAAAATCTTCTAGATTTCGTGGAATGTTCTCTAATTTATACTCGTTTAGTGTAAAAATAGAGTATCTGATACACCACAATCTGATATTTACAAGACATGATACACATCTTATGATCACCATGTTTCAAAATGTAGAGCTCGTACAAATTGAAGACTGAAGAGTATTTCATATAATCTAGAAAATTTTATTAAATTTTACATCACAAGGGTGGATGTATAAGAAAATTCATAGTTGATGAAAGCAGTTGTAATATCCAAACATAAATAATTTTTTTTTATAATTTCATCTTAACTCAGGGATCGCCGTAATTTAATCTTATTATTATTGCAATTTTGTCATCTCAAGATTTGTAAGAAATCATTTGTCACAATTAGTACATAGTAGTAATATGTTTTCCTTGTGATTTCTGCAGATGGAGAATCCGCTTTACTATCTCGCTCAGTTAGTGATCCATCCTGTTCCTAAGTATGTAATTAGGCTCATCGTTTTCTCTTGCTTCAACATCATTAATATATTTAATTAGGATTAGTTGAGTTTGTCTCATATGACTTACGTCTAGTGAATGTGTAACTTTTCTTATGATCTGCAAATTAGTGTACGTAAGTAAAGTTTATCCGATGCACCCATATAGTTGATCGTGAATTTTTTATTCAGTTATGTGTTTTATTTCCAAATTATTCTTAGATAAACGATCACACGTCGTTAAAGAACTACAATAAAATTATGAGCATTTATAAATATATAAATAAGTAATTGGTATTTATTTATAAAGAAATATATAAGTAAATAAATAAATAAGTCGGATTTGTTAAAATTTCTTTACACTTGATTCTATTAATAACCAATAAATTCAAAATATAATTTTTGAAGTTTGATAAATTTCAATTTTTTTTTTCGAATAGTAGCACACTATATTCCATTCAACTCAATTCCATATATTAACATAATAAATTAGTTACGTTTGAGCAACTCCAATAAATGAATTAAATATGATGTTAAATAATAAAACTACTATTTTAATACTCCATCTTATTGTAGTGAAAATGCACTAAAAAAAAGAAGAATCAAATATTTCTTAAAAATAGCTCCTTCAAATTCAACATAAAAAAATATCTCAACATATTACAATTGAAAGGGATAATAATTTATTTGATGAGGACATGAATTTTCTTGAATTATCAAAGTATTATATCAAAAATCAATTCAGTGTTTGATACTATAATATTTGTTGGTAGACCCTATAAATTACAAAGATCAAACAAAGTCTAATTATTTAATTAATTATGACGGCTAATTCCCCCAACCAAAGGAGAGGGAGATGAATAAATAAAATAAGGGTATGATAAAAAAAAAAGAAATTATCTATTTAAATGCCGATATTTTTTGTTGACCAGAGACGTGGGTGAAAGTGGGGACAGAAATCAGTGACAAATAATAGTAAACTAACAGCTTTCTTGTTCTAGTTAAGACTAGATATTGTAGACAATAATGTTGTTGACAGAGTAGACATAAAATAGTATATAATATATATATATATATATATATATATATATATATATATATATATATATATATATATATATATATATATATATATATATATATATATATATATATATAAAATAGAATCTAGATAAACAAATAATTTCGCTTAAATAATAGTTTTTTCTGGTCCCGATTTAGTAAAAATCTACTAAATTATTAGTTCGATAATTTAATATTTTGTTAAATTAATAGAATTTTATTATTTCAACTGAATTAATTTATAGAGGTTTAACTGTATATATGTCGGAAAGTAATATAATAAACCGGCTATGAACCAAATTGTGGATATAAAATAGTGCAAGTGAGAAATTGACAAAGGGAATAAATTTTAAGAGTGAGAGAGAAATTGCTTAGTCAAATTATGGCAAGGTCCATACACGTCAAGCTCAATAAATTAAATTTCTAGAATTGTGTTAATTTTCTAAGGTGGTTTTGTTTTTAGTCTTTGAAATTTTTTCATTTTCTCACATGGCAATGAGAAAATAAAATTTATTTGATGGACATTTAGGATTCGAAGAACTTGTGTTTGAAAATAGTTTAAATAATTTGATAATAAAATAGCAGAATGATTTTTTTTAATGATTAAAAAATATAAATTTTTAATATTGACGAGATGTATGTATTTGACATTTGGCACCCTAGAAAAATATCAATGAAAATATTAAATTATCTTGTATTAGATTTAAAATTCTATTTGGGTGCATTATGTATAATTTATTGTGTTTCAAGAATGCAAAGTATTATTAATTGTTTTTTACGGGTGCAAATTGCCAAAAACTATATTTCGGGGGTGCAAGGGTTGTGTGAGACAGTAATATTGTAGGGCAAGACAATAATATTAATTGTGACACAATAATATTATTGTGTTAACAACAACTGTGACATTAATATTAATATCACAGTTAACAACATAAGAATTGATATTGTATAATGTAAGTAATACAAACTAATATATAAAACGTAGGAAAATTACGGCCACCTCGAGTTATGGTCAAATTACAAAAACCTCCTTCCTATTTGGATAATTACAGTCACCCCCAATATGTATCATCTTACGAAAAACCCCTCAATGGATAAATTTAGGGATGTTAAAGTAGTAAAACTGAACCGAAATTTCGGAACGCCAACATTTCATACCGTTTACGAACTGAATATACGATTTGCTTCGGTAAATAACCAAATTACATAAATTTTATGTAAAAATATTTAAAAGGAGGGGATTAACTGCAATTACCAAAACAAGAGGGGTTTTTTCGTAATTTGACCTTATCTCAGAGGGTAACCGTAATTTACCCTGAAACATATATATAATCTCTTTTACATATATGAAAATCAAAACTACCGTGGTGGCATATTGACAAAAAAAATCAGCAAGACGTCTCTTTATAATCAACACAAAAAACAATATCTAGTTGCTACTTGGCTTTAAGTATTGACATGCTTCATTCATTTAAAATACATATTTATTAGAAAGTGCTAAAGCTAAGTTAAAACTCTCCCATTATTATAATGTTCGAAATTATTTTTTAGAAAAGCAGTTAATGAGTTAGACATTTTTCTGCTATTAGACTTGTAAATCATATGCTAACAAATTTATACAAGAATCACTTCCTAATTCATATTAATTATCTTCCATATTTACAAAGGACCATTCTAGAACTATTTTAAAATATTATAAAAAAAAGTAAAAAATCATACACCTATGAACTTCTTAGAATATGTATAACTTCCTAGTTGAGCTTTCAGTTAGTCTTTATAATAGTACTTGGCTTCGCATGGGTTGCGATATGTGATCTGGATGACATAGTATTATTCGTACTATTCTTCTCTCTTTGTACTTCCGCATAACTAAAAAAACTTTTTACGTTTTACATGAGAACGGAAGAACAAAACAAGTAAAGAAAAAAACTCGTTGAAGAACGGATAATAACTTGCTGAATCATACAACCTTTCAAAATTAGATACTGAAAGTATGAAAAGATTGAATTTCCGACAACGGTAAGAACAACGTAACTTCACCCGAAGAAAATAAACAAACAATTAGGCACAACTTGCAACTTCAATTATATCTCTATTTTTTCTTTCAACGACATAATTTGTTAAAATCTATAACTAAACATGAAATTTATTAGTAAGTTAAAGTAGAATAATAATTTAGAAAAAAAAAAAGTAAATATTGTATTGAAATAGAAGTACAAGCAAGAAACCCCAATTATATATTCTATTTCTTTCACTTCTCTTAAAATAAGTCGTTATAATCACGACTATATGTCAAATATATGATTTTTTTTGAATTAATAAAATAAAATAAAAATCATTCGGTATAATTTGTTCTCTTGGTATATTGTTTTTACTAAATTTATTTTATCAGAACAATTAAGTTATTTAAAAAAAAGTTGAAATACGTATGTTAGAATTTTCTTCATGATCTTACAAAACTCAATTCTTTTAATAGTTCATAATTTCAAATAGTCTTTATTAGCATTATTTCACTAATTGATTAGTCATTATTGAATTAGGTAATTAAACACTTTGGCATAATTAAGAGTTTACGATGAAAAAAAAAAGTCAAGTAGTCAAACTTTTGAAATAAATTTCTTCGTCAATTTCGGTTGCCTTTCTTTTTACGCTTGTACTGAATTGTTTATTTTCTTAAATGGATATAATTAATAAATAAATATTGCATGCATATTGATTCGCCAATACATTATTATAATATAAAAAAGAATACTTACATGAACTTAAAAAAAAATTAAATACCAAGAAAATGACACCATGATACATCTCCCATCCCAAAATTATTCTATAATACAAAGTATAATAAAATTAAATCACAAAAATAAATGTGGAAAAAAAATTTATATGATCATACAACAAATATATTAATCCAACACGCCTAATTAATCAAATAGCCCGATAAACTTCACCCGATGTATGTATATCTATATATATTATCACTTGCACCTCGAATCCTGAATAGTACTCGAGCGCAAGTTAATAACAACGACGCAATTCATATAAGCCGATTTCGTCTTCTTCACCACCTTCAGTAATTCCACCTTGCCTCTCAATTGGGACTCGACGTTCAAAGTCCAAACACCGCCCATACTATTGTTACTACTATTCGAAGAATTCAAATCGACGGTCACATACATCTTTTTAGTGGATCTGGCCCGGGCCCGCGATTCAGGAATCACGAACTGGCCCACGTTACTTGCCCCGGACCTAATAGTAGCCAATCCACTGTCGAATTTGTACCGCCCGAAATTAGTGTTCTTGACCAAAACACGAGCGGTCAACCGAACGTTGCCGCTCACATGATCTTTGGTCACGGTGATGTCACCCAAACGGAGCTTGGGGGATTTTACGCGCATAACGGTTAGGGCTAAGATGAGGATGATTATGATTTGGAAAACGGCAAAACATGCGATGTAAGCGAAGCATTTCATTCTCTTGTTCTTCTTCATTTCCTCTTGGGCTCGGTAATTGTTCGTCCCGGAATACTCTTCGTCGCTTCTTGGTACCGTCGATGGTGCAAGGGGATACGCTTGGTGCACTTCTTGATTGTACTTTTCTGCCATAATTTTCTTTTAGGTGTAAATATTTCTTGTGGGATTTATGAAAATTGGAAATAAATTAATATTTTGGAATGTAAAAGTTTGAGATATTTTGGTGGTCTCTAAAATGGGGTGTATATATATAGTATTCATGTGTGAGGGTTCGTGGAAATTGTTGTCTGAAAATTGAGAGAAGAAAGATTTTTCAACAAATGTTTTTTTTTAGGATTCTTTTCAACAAATGTTAATGCGTGTTAATTGACTTATAAAGGACATCATATTTTGGTTTCACTCCATTAAATCCGTATTAAAAACAAGAACACGGATTTAAAACGAGGGTTTATTTGATGTTACACTTGGTGAAATATAACGGATGATTACTAACCGTTGATCTGCACATAAATACACACACATGAATATATGTACTTAGTGGGAAGTTATTCCACCAAATCATGAGCTAAAAATCACCCGATTTATTTTACCAGGTGTAATATGTGAATGACCATAAAACGGTTCTTTATTATATATATATATATATATATATTTATAGAAGCTTCTATTTATATCTGAAATTATGTGTTGAATATGGGATTTATTTTCCTGAAAAGTTATATAGAGACTCTGTCTTAGTTTGAATACATGGTGAAATTTATTGACCACTCATTGTTACAAATTTTGTATTAAAATTTGTAAGAGTAAATTTGTTTTGTAAGTTCTTATTAACTTTTGTCCCACTAGTGGTCGTATTTGGTTTTATCAATCTTGTGGTTGCATGCTCATCATTTATAGGTAAAAAAACATTAACTCAAATATTTACTATTCCATATTTCTCATTTATAGGTAAGAAATACACCCAGAAGTGTTTGGTCTTTATATTTATTAGGGTCAATTACAACGACTCATGAGATATGTTCAAATTACGGAAAGATCCTTCGTATTTTCATAATTTTGACTTACAAGAGATGAAAACTCTCGTAGCCCATCAATATATTGTTTTTCAAAAAATATTAATTGATAAATCTATTGATACAAGTAAGTATTTAGTTTAAAACAAAAAAAATATCCTTAACACTTTCAAGTTTCAACGCTCGACTCAAAATTTTGAAATCGTGATTTTAACTTTAATATCATCCATTGATTGTTAACTATTGACCATTCGTCGTTGACCGACCAATTTTCATTTTTCTTGCCGTTTTTTTTAGTACTTTCTTAATCTTACTATAGATTATCTTAATTTTACATTCGGGTTTCTTACTATCGAACCTACATTAATGACTACGTATTTTTACTATCCGTTCAATTTTGGTCATAACTTTGACATACGAACTCCGATTGCACTAATTCAAATTGCATTAAAAAGAGGATGACAAGTTCTACAAATTTTATGTTGTTTGTTTTCTTAGATTTTAATGGATCTTAATCTTATTGTCGGGGTTGGATAATAGATTACATATTCTTACTATAATATTTTTTGTTTATATCACATTTTTTGCATAAAAACTTTGATTGCCTTCATTCGAGTTGCATTGCATTCGATAGAACAAGTTTGACAACTTGCATGTTTTCTTTTTTCTCATATTTGATTTGGATAGGTAAATGTAATTTCGCAAATAAAAGGGGTTATTTTGTATCCTAGAAAAATGACTTTTTGCTATCATTATTTTTTGGGTAAATTACAAAAACCCCCTGAAGTATGGTCAAATTACAAAAATCCCCCTCTTGTTTGGATAATTACATCTACCCCTTCAACTATGATTTTTTCTTAGACATCCACCTTTATGGTGCCAAATTCAACATAGTCGTCTAGATTCCGTGAAATGCGCTCTAGTTTGTACTCGTTTTGTGTAAAAAATATTGTTTCCGATGCATCACAAACTGATATATACAAGCTAAAAATCACATATTATGATCATCTTGCTTCATAATGTAGAGTTTGAATGGCATAAAACGGGTACAAAAGTGATAATATTCCATATAATCTCGAAGATTCCACTAAATTTGAGGAGTTGAGGGGGTGGTTGTAATTATCCAAACAAGAGGAGTGTTTTTGTAATTTGACCGTACCTCAGGGGGGTGTTTGTAATTTACCCTTATTTTTTACTCTAGTAAAAAAACACAACAAAGGTAATTTTACTATGGAAAAATCTTGGAGTACGTCGTAGTAAATGTTAGGATACATTTTCCCCATTTTTGGTTAATTACTATAGATATGAAGTAACTTGAATTTGATCAAATTTATCGAGAAAAAAATCTAGAGAGAGAGAAGTTGTCAATTTGAACATAAAAAGGGAATTTTTGTACAATTTTAAACAGTAAAACGTGTTTTGGATAACTTTTGACTGTGTGATAAGGCGTGAGAAGGTTCCATCAGATTATATGTCTAATTAATTTCCGACGGATAATAATTTCTTTTTCGCATCAGCTGTGGCTCGGGATTGTGCAGGGAATTGTTTGGGGTGGAAAGTGGAGAAGATCCCTGGCAAATTGAGGCCGGTGGAGGGTGAAGCCGTCGCAGCGTTAAAAGCGATGTACTTGGCGAAGGGAAGGGGCTGGCGGGATATTGTTCTTGAAGGTGATTGCATCCAACTTATACAGGCATTGGGCAACAAAGGCAGCGAGGGATCGTCATATGGAGCGATCGTGGAAGAATGCATCTCTCTAGAGAATTTTTTTGATTCATGCTCCTTTCAATTTATCAAACGGTCGGGCAATTGTTTAGCTCATAATCTTGCTAAGATTCAATGTAATGGGGTTATGGAGAACTTTGATATCCCATCTGCTTTAGCAGATATCGTTTAATAATATGCTTTCCTATTTTTCAAAAAAAAAATTAAATCAATAAATACTTCATCAACTTCATTCGGCAAAAGATTAGCCTGAAAATCAATATCTACTTTGGTTGAATTTAGTCAATTTGTGACAACCCCCTCCCATAATTTAAAATAAATAAATAATATCAAGTGGTAAGAATGTTTTTTTATCACGTTCTTCTCCATAATTTTATTCTATTAATTACAATGTTTTTTTTTTTAATGAAGAACCCGCAATTAACTATATAAGCTTACACTCTCATATAATAACTTAAAAATAATTCAAAAGAATACTTAAAGCTTCTTTTATGTAACGTCTCAATAATTACTAGGTAATATACGCGCATAGGCGGCTTATTTACGACTAGAATGAACTTCAAAATTGACTTTAGTCAACAATAATGTATTAATTTGAAATTGATCATAGAGCTTGCTTTAGTTGAATTAGTAATGTCTCGCTATCTACATTTACTATAATCTCTTCTCTAAAGTCTAAACAATTAATTTTCGTATATCAATTAATTAATTTATCTTAAAATTAATTAACCAAGAATATTGTTTTTATAAAGTAAAATAACTTTATAGCATATACTAGATAAATAAATAAGTATGGCCGCACGACGAAAAATGGAATGGATTATGAAATTTAGTGCATGTTTGGTATAATAGCGCCTACTAATTAAATACTACGAGCGATGGTTGTACTTGTACATTAGACATGAATTAGCCAAAATAAATAGATCCAAAGTGTTGTACTTTGAATAAAATATGTTTGTATATACTAATATAATAAACTGAAATAATTTGTACATGCACCATTTAATCGTGGAGATACTTTATTTAGAATTCTTCAAAAATCAAAAGGTAAATATTCTCATAAACTCTCTCAAGCTTTTGAAGTTCGATTTCAGATCCTGACCGAGACGACAGATCGAAGGTAATTTCAACTTTTTTTTTTATTGTTTCGTTACATAGATTACGATTATTGATTTTTTTTTAAACGAATCATCTGGTAGTACTCGAGTGATTCTACACGAGTACAACGGAGTTACTCGTGTAGAACCACGCGAGTAGATGAATGAATTTTTTTATTTTTTAAAATACGTATGTTTTGATTGAATTTTTTTTACAAAAATGGAGGTTGTATGTAATTAGATGAACATGGGGTTGTGCTCGTGTCAAACCACGCGAGCTCAGTTCTTTGAGCTCGCCTAAAATCACACGAGCTCCATTTATTTTACCTTTTTTTTTGTTGCTCGTGTGAAAACACGCGAGCAGATCTATTGTCCTCGCGTGCCTGCACACGAGAAAAATTTATCTGCTCACGTGTTTTCAAATTATAGATGGCTGGAGGTAGAGGGAAAAGTTTAATGAGTCAAATTGCGGGAAAACGTAAAAGTTTAATGAATGCTTTGGGTGGGAAGTCCAATAATCTAGATGATCCGGATCGTATTAGGGATCGGGGAGTTCTTGCATCCGATCGTAGAAGGAAAGCTACGGCAAGAGAAGAAGCGAAGAGAGCGAGGGAAAAAGCTATTGCAGTCGGAGTCGAGCCTTCTTTACCTATTGCCGATGATCTTCAAGTCGGTAATGTTCGTACTCCGTTGCAGTATGCGTCCAATGATGACGATGAGATGGTGGCTAATGATGACGGCAATGATGACGAGGAGATGGTGGCTAATGATGACGACAATGATGATCATGATGGTGGTGAGCCAACACGTAAACGTGGTCGTGGCGTAAATTTTCCAATTTGGGATGGTCCGTCGTATTTAGAGGGTCCGTGCGAGGGAAGGCTGAAAAAATTGAAGTTTATGCGCTGGTTCAAGTCGCATATAACGATATACATATGGGATGGATATGTAAGTTTGTTTTTAATACATGTTTTATATATTTTTATAATTTGTGTTTTCGCTATCTAATATATGTAATTTAATTTAGGAACGTCGTGACACTGGACGGGTCGAGTCGAGAAATAAAGCACTGAAAAATTACCTCGGTCTGCAAGATGACACGATGATTAGCAGGATGGAGGCAACCGAACTTTACCACTTACGACACTGTTGACTCCCCAATATGAATCAAAAGATAATGTTAGCGTTCATCGAGAAGTGGCAGCCGGAGACAAATAGCTTCCACATGCCGTGGGGAGAGATGATGATCACGCTCCACGACGTTGTTTTCATCATGAGGTTGCGAGTGGACGGACCGTAA